AGATGAGTTTATCCAAAAGTCATTTATTTGGTCTTAACCTTAATTTCGATTTTTTGCAGGCGGATGCTACTTTCTTGTATTGTGGTTTTAGTTTGATCCCTTTTGTGTTTCTTGGAATTCCAATAGGGATTAATCCTAGAAGAAGAGAGACTTGGGAACCGAATGTTGACATGTTGAAAATAAGGTTAGTGGTGTGGCATAATAGATTTTTATCTATTAGAGGTAGAGTGGTCCTTCTAAATTCTGTCGTATCCAATATCTCAATCTTCTTCTTTTTCTATAAGGCTCCCAATGTAGTTTTAAATGAGATAATCAATATTCAAAGATATTTTTTGTGGGGAGGGGGCGATGAGCAAAATTCCGAACAAAATTCATATCTTTGGTTAGCGGTTTATTCTTAACAAGTTTCCTACGAGAATGGAAATGGCAAAGAGGGACAATATTGGAGGATCTCATAATGTGGTTTATCCTTTCTGTTTTTTGGAAGGCGAAAGATTGGAACATTTGTTTTGTTTTTGTTTCTTTTCAACATCTTATGGAATAAGTTTTGTTTATGGGTCGGGGTTGACTTTTCAGCTTTAGGTGATGCGTTTTTAGATAAATTTGATAGTGTTAATTCTTTTCTTTATTTTTGATTTTTTAATCTTATTTTTAATTGGTCAATTTGGTTTTGCCAGAACTCAATTCTTTTTAAAGGTAGTATTTTTTCAAAGTTATAGGTGTTAAGTTTTATGAAAGCATTATTTTAAAATTGGTTTATTGTTTTTTATAGAAAGGGGGGAATATTTCTTGGACCAATTGGTACAATAATCCCACTTTGTGTTTGGGTGTAGTTTTTTAGACTTCATTGTCAAAGGTTTTTGGGTTGGTTTTGTTGTAGGTTGATTGTTATGTTTTTCTTTTAATTTCTTAGTTGTATAAGGGTGGACACCCTTAGTACTTATTTTTAATTTCAAAAATCTTTTGCTTATTAAAACAAATGGTAGATAAAATTAGTACATGCAATATTTTATTTTATTTTTAGTGTTTTTATTTGAAAGGTATCCTTATCCCAAAAAGAATTGAGCGTTTGAAATTTCAATTCAAACATCAAAGTCTATGATATTGAAGACTCTTACTCCTATTACTCTACCTAAATTCAATCGCTCCCTAGTAAAAGAGAAAAAGAAGTTGACTGAAGATTTATTTTTCACACATTCTTTTGACTAAAGTAGAAAAACTATTCAAAAATATTGATACCAAATTCCAAAGTTATATAAAATATTGTGAGAAAAAAAGATAATGTTATCGAGTTGAGTATATAAATTGTTAGGTTTCAATTATTATACTAATTTTGATTATTAATTTATTTATTATTATCGGTAAAAGAAGGTAATGTTATAGTTTTTTTTATAAAAACAAAGTATAGTAAAATTATTGTTAATTAAAATGATAAAATAAATTTATAAAATTTGAGCATTTGATCAATTTCATTGTTCCGTAGTGGATTAGAATGGATCGGAAATTGAAGATACAGAGTTTGTTGCAGTGGTTCTAAGCTTCTAATGTAATGGAGATGTGGATTGACTTGCAAGATTAAGATTTCAACGTTTAAGTCAATATGAAGTGAAAAGTGGTGTTTAAATGAGAAGGAATTTAAACATCTGATAAATGGTGTACTTCCTTCTTTAAATATGAGAAACAATTAGCAACTAAATGAGTGTGACTAGGGTGAAATTAAGCTGGATCGAGATAGACTTTGTCAAGTCTAAGTCTGACCTGCTAAAAAAACTGATAAATGGTGTACTTCCTTCTTTGATGATGTTATATTTTGTGCTACTAATAATTCTGTGTAAATATTTTTTTAATATAATGTAAAGAGAGTTTGAAAAATTAATGATAGATAAACTTCATTATTTGCTTAAAATTCAAATGCATCAAACAAAAGACAGAATAATTCTGTGTAAATATATTTTTAATATAATGTAAAGAGAGTTTGAAAAATTAATATGGATAAACTTCATTATTTCCTTAAAATTCAAATACATCAAACAAAAGACAGAATCATCATTATCAAGAAAAATATTGCAAACAACTTCGAAAACAATTAGGGAATAAAAAATGACAAAAGGAATATTAACTCCTATAAACATATCAGTTTAGAAGCATATATGTAGAAGAAATTAAATATACAGGTATAATCGACTACTTTCTTTATTTTATCGGTCGTGTTTTTTCTTTTATATGTATTTTTTCAAACACATTCTAAAATATCACATCTCATTATGTTCATGTGCATTACGAAATATCTCACTAGCATACAACATATAGTGCTTATGATATTTTAAAGGGACAAATTGCACTTTCATTGTGTCCTATGATTCGGATTTTGATGATGTAAAATGAATTAGAATAGTACTATTGAAACCTTTCTCTTGCTTGGATAGTCTAATTCTTACCATAGTAAAAAGCAAGTATCTACATCCAAAGCGGAATACATCGTTTAAAGTATATATATATACCTTCAAGGATGTATATATACACTTTAATGACAGGTTCAAACTTCTGACACCATAATAGGTAGTTTTCTAAATCAAGTTTATTAGAGTATGTCCAATGGTGGTTCTTGAACAATGGTTCTTCACGTGGGAAAATATATTAATTTTTTTTCTTCTTGCTAGAGAGCTCTAATTGGTCAACGGTAACAAAATAAGCTACGGTTTTAAATGTTTTTTTAATAATATTTCATTCAACTAACCGTTCAACGGCCACTTGAGTTTTTTTTTTTTTTTTCACTTTATTTTTTGTCATTATAAATATAGTTGTTAGTAAAAATATTATCAACAAAAATTTTTTCTCACTTTTATTTTTTCTTAAATTTCAAATTTCTCTCTCACAATTTCATCATTAATTTTAATTATCATTTTAAATTTTATGTTTAATTTTAATTTTATTTATTTTATATTAATTTAAATTTAAATAATTTAAATTAAATAAAATTTAATATAAATAAAATATTAATATACAAAATAAAATTGTGGAACCCAATATAAGTTCTTTAAAATTACACTATTAAAATAAAAAATAAAGTGAATTGCTTCAAGATGATATGGTTTAATGGGTCCCAAAAAAAACCCAAATATGAGCAGCACCATTGAAATGCTCTTAGAAATGGCAGAAAATATTTGTGTTGGGGAAGAAGCGTCGATGGAAAAGAAAAAGAGGAACAAAGACCTGTGTTGGATGCGTCACACTGGAAAAGTTTCCGTAGACCTCAACCGATGGGTGCTTCTACTAAAACCATGTTAGAATTTTAAAACGGCGGATATGCATGCTCGTCTCAGTAAAAAACAGTAGGCATGAATGAATTTTAAAATCCATTTCAAACGGAGGATATGCATGCTCGTCTCATCACCACGTCGGAAACAAATTTTTAAACATATATTTTAAATTATAAAGGATTAAATATGTTTTTATTTCTTATAAAATATTAAATTTTATTTTTTATTATTATAAAAAAATAACGTGTTTTAATCTTTATAAAATAATTATACAAATAATTTTAATCCTTAAATTAATGTATATTTTCAAATAATTATTTTACAAATATGTTTAGAGACTATAGAAAATTTCTCAAAAAAAATTCAAAAATTAATTCATAAGACAAAAATTTTATTATCTTTTTAAATATTAAAATTTTATATTTAATTCTTCTCATTTTTAAAAAAGATAATACTAATTTATATTTTAGTTAATTATTAATTATAAGACTATATTAAATTTATTACACAATTTTCAAAATTTACTTTTTATATTTTTCTCTTTAACTTGTATTTCAAAAATACAAGTTAACATTACCTTTTAAAAAATTATATAATTTGATAAAAAAATATTTTATAATAATCTGAACACATACGGAAAAAATTATTTAAAAATTTAAAATTAAAAAATAGTAAAATAGTTTTCAAAATTTTTAAAAATAATATACATAAAAATTTTGTAAGGACCACAAAATATCCATTTTTTTTATAGGGATTAAAAATAAAATATGAAATATTTATAGAAATGAAAAACGTATTTAACCCAATAATAAAATACAAACAAAAATAATCAATACGAGCAGAGAAACCCAAATTCAATCAAAAACTCGGTCAAAGCGGATTTTATCAATCAAACTCGAGATAGATTCAGACGGAATACCCGTGTTGCCACGAAACAGTCAGCATTACAAGTGTATTCTTTAACAGTTCCTTAAATAATTATTCAAGGTCTGCAATTTGATACTTCACGAACTTTTTTAAAAATTCCTAGTTTGAGGGATTACACTATTAGTATCGTACAATTGAGGAACCAAATTGTTGATTTACTATCTCTTGCTGATAAGAAAGTAGCCTAGAAAAATGTCAAATGTTTATAAACTTGTATCAAATGAAGTAAATTTCATCACCAAATTATTATAACATTTTAAAAATTATAAAATTGTTAAAAGTTAAACCTATCCAATAAAACAAAAGTTAGTTTCTTAAACTCAAATAAAATCAAGTAAAAATTGCTTCCAGTTCTACATGTTAATTTGGCTAACTGATTTCAACCAAATTCAATTTCACAAACAATTTAACTCAATCTATACCTAAAAACATAAAATATGACGGTTTGCGAGTTAAGACTCGATTTTAACAACCATGGATGTAGGCCTGACTATAGGTCAAAAGACTGGGCAGTAATTAAACCATGGGAGACACATAGTAATTAGAGTTAATGTTACATTATAAATAAAGAAAAAGTGCCAATCTGAGTAAAGCAGGCTACTACATTAAGGAAAACACAGGAATCACAAAAGATGTGAGTGATTAAAAGATCAATAACTTATGTTCCGGAACGAACCAGCTTGCTTGTAAATTATTGAACTTGTATGGAGAATCCTCCCATAAGCTGAAGCTATCTTCTTCATTTGAAACTCTCGCTTCGTCAATTCTTTTCAGGCAAGGGCTAACTTGTCAAGAACATAGTCAACTTCGCAATTAATAGTTCCGTCCCTTATATGGCGGTGTCTCCTGTAAAAAAAAAGCTATGATTAAGCTAACAATAAATTGACCATGAAAGTTTACCTAAAAGTATATATAGTGGAAATTTAGTCTCCTCCATGATTGTTTAAGGAAGAATATCCAGCATTCATGACACATATCATATATGAAGTGATTTGAGGTAGCTGATTTGATATTTGTGCATTCATGACACATATCATATATGAAGTTATTGAGGTAGCTGGTTTGATATTTGTCACAATGCTAAAAACAGCAAAACTGATACTACATAAAATCAAAGCATACGCATGTGAAGTCTCCAAAACCAGAGTGAAGAAGATAAATGGAAAACAACATTGATCAAATAAAATTAGAAAACTAAACACTAAAGGAAAAAAAGGAGTCCTTACAGGTAGGTAATTGGGCATGTATAGAACTTGTCTAGGATGACCATGAATTTGTCCATACTGCAATTAGATTAATAAAATTAATCATTCTGAAATATTTATAGAATGTTAACATAAAAGTAACAAGTGCGAGCCGAAAGTGGATCCCACCTGTGGTCCATTCTGATGAAAATATGGTTGGGATGGCATTTGTGCTACTTGTGGATTATACATTATAGGTTGTGGCCCGGCAAAAGAAGTTCCAACCTGCACACCATATACGACATCATCAAGGTTGCAAGGAGAAAGATTATAGAGTATGACTATTAAACCTGACTAAGAAATTTAGAGTCTCCTATGGAGCGACTACTCCAATTCATAGGAGATTATACAATATCTTTCCAAAAAAAACTTACTCCGACGCCCATTGGCATGGTTGGCATACTCGGTACAGTAGATGCGTTAGCTGGGTAATAGAAGGAGCCATCAGACACCGGGGAGCGAGGCCTAACAGGTGCTTGAGACGGAACAAAACTCTTAGCATTAGGGTTCAGTTTAAATTCCTGACAACAAAGAGAAACCACAAAAGAAGAAAGCTCTGAGACATGCCACAATAGTAACTAAAAAGACCAGCATTTGCAAATGCGGCTTCCTATTCTATAAAGTCGATCTATAACAGACACACCTTCGCATAGGGATTCAGAGTTGATTTGTCGGAAGACAGTGAACCAAGTGAAGAACTTGGTGATAAACTTGGACCAGAATATGTTGCCACACCTGCTATAAAATCTGAACCAGATGATATACGTGTTTCTGATCTTCCACGTGAATTTAAGGACTTTGTTTCCCAACTTGCTTTGACAGATTCTGAACCCCCAGTCAAGTCTCCATGTGATCCAGTTTTTTCATCAACCTTAGATGAAATATGAGTAGAGGAGGTATAGGAGGAGGCATTAGTAGGTGATAATCCCACTTTATCAGATCCATCTTTCTTCAAGTTGAATGCTGGACGTAAATCTGCAGTAAGAATTGCCATGATCATAGGAATGCAAATATTTCTTAAAGAAGCAACATGAATGAAATTCAAATGTAGGTGAGAGCTTTCATTCATAAGTAGCATTGGTACTGATAGAAAGCTTCAGCACTTCGTTTATGATAAATAGAATAACCACTTAAATGGCATTCGTTTAGTTTCATCCACATTAGCTTTGCAGCTTCAGACATAATGGTTTAGATATAATCAATTCACAGGGAGCTGAGAGAAATTCCACAAACCCTGATATTTAGACAGCTGTACATCCTCAGCTTGCTGCAACAAGTAATGCAAAAAAGAATGAGATTTAAGAATATCAGATTACAGCAATTACTTGTGAGTTATTTATTAAGACATGGTATGAGGGTTGTGACACTGAAACTTCAACTCACCGTCTGATTTTCTTCCTTGGTGTTACCATTGGCTCCATGTAGATCACAAACTGAGTTATCCTGAATCCTGTGAGTTAAAATGATTGGAAAAAATTGTGTGAAGTTGATATTTGATAGGACTCTCAGTCTTAATGAGAGTTAATTAGAATATTTCCTTAATTTTAGGGGATATTTTGTTAAAAAAGGAGAGAGGGAAGGGAAGTTGAGACTTATTCAGAAAGTTTGTTAGGAAGTTGTTAGAAGAGTTACTCTCTGGTTTAAGGAGCAATTCTGCTCTGGTTTAGGAGTTCATAGAACTATGGTTTACAGTTTCTGTTTTATCCTTCACTGTAAGAGCTTCAAGCTCAACGATTTACATTAAATAATACTCAGTGTTCATCATATTTTTCTGGTTTCTATCATTGATCCGACCTGCCGGATTATCAAGGAGGCGCCAGCATACGCGTCATTCAAGATGATTGAAGAAGTGTTGGAAGCAGAAATGGTTGATAGAATTGATGCAACTGAAGTGAGAATGGGAAGATTGGAGGAATCTGTCAAATCTTAAGAGTTTCGTCAATTGTTGAGCAGAGATGGCGAAGCATTTGGGGCATATTCCTGTAGAGAATCTTAGCTCTGATTGGAGTGTTTTTCCGATAACAAATGCGATGAAAGAGCACTGTGTAACAGAGTTCCAAACAGATGTGAAGCCGGAAAAGGTAGAAGCAGCGGAGAAAAAGGAAAAAGTTTGGCGAGCAAGGATGTGATCCTTGTGGCTGAGAAGCCAGAGAAGAAAATGAAGGATAGGGAGTTTAAGGGTCAATTGGAGGAGACCTTTTCTCGACAAGTGAAGGAACAACCACAGTCAATGGCGGCAATCCTCCATACGAGTACCTCAAGAAGAAAATGAAGGTGCCAAGAACTATGTAGAAAGACAATGCATGCATAGACCTGGTTTGCAACCTCCGTCAAAACAACCAGATGCCGGTCGACCTGCGCCGTCAATACCACAGCGAGCCTCACCGCCATCAAATGGAAATACAATGAATTTCACAAGGAACGGTAAACCCATTCTTGTAACGAAGAGTCAAGGGCAATAGGGGCAATTCGCAAGTTGGTCACATTCTAACCCTACTGGATCAGACCCATTCTTGGAAGGGAATTATAAATTGGGCAGAATCACTGAAGTGTTCAGTAAATACCTTCACACACGGATTGCTCTTTTTCAACCCGACCAAGTCAATACCCGGTGGAAACCCAATGTGAAGACGCAAACCGGTTTCCATCCATTGCCGCCATCTCTAGTGCACACTTCACCTTCGTTACGGCAGTCTCGGAATCGGACAGAGTCTCAGCCGCGATTAATCCAGTCTTGGAATAGAACCCTTCTAGTGAAGTTGCCGTCTTGTCGAAGCAGTCCAAACCAAAGAAAAGGGATGTAAATCTCGATGAGAAGCAAAGAGTGGGAATAGAGTTGCAGAGTTTTACTTCATCAAAGAAAATGAGCCAGGTGATTCAGATCTCCTTACCTTGTTCTTCTGAGTTGTTAAATAAAATCATAAATGGCATCAAGGGTATTACTATTAATATACTGAGAAGGGCAAATAAAGGCTAAATCATCAGGGACATGCGAGTGAATACAGCATACACTGGAATTGCTTCTTCACACTCACTGTGTTGTTGGACTGTTTCTATCTTAATTCTGGTGCATATTGGGCTGTCCTGGTTGAAGATGAATATAACAGGGGAAAAAAGATGGCTACAAATATATTAGATTCTTTTAATAAACTCTCTTTTCTCAGTCAAAGTTATGATTGTTGCAATGCTGACCTCTTTAAATTTGGAAGAGTTTAACAACAATTTTTCACTAAGTACAGTGGAATGGAGACTATTTAGGTGGCACAATCTTTTGCAGTTAGCTTGGCAAGTAACCGACAATGGGATCCTGGAAAAAAATTATGAGGCAGCCGAAGAATTAAAAAATTGTGGAGATTGTATTGCAGTGGCAGTTTGCTCTTTATTCCACTACAGTTCCTGTGTTTGCCTGGGTTCTTCAGCAGTTGTTCACATCACAAGCTCGGACTTGAGGACATATCTGTTTTTCAAGGGGGTGGTAGTGATAGGACTCTTAGTCTAATGAGAGTTAGTTAGAATTTTTCCTTAGTTTTAGGGGATATTCTGTTATAAAAGGAGAGAGGGAAGGGAAGTTGAGACTCATTCAGAGAGTTGTTAGGAGAGTTACTCTCTGGGTTAGGAGCAATTCTGCTCTGGTTTAGGAGTTCATAGAACTCGGGTTTACAGTTTATGTTTCATCCTCCATTGTAAGACTTCAAGCTCAATGATTTGCATTAAATAATACTCAGTTTTCATAATATTTTTCTGGTTTCTAAATTCTATCAATATTTATGTGAAGAGCCACCCTTGGTGAAAAAATTCACAAAATTGCAGTGAAGCAAATAAAACAATTTGATATAAAAGCAAAAACAAAAACCTGCTTTCCACATCTGAAAATGAGTAACTTTGACCAGAGACTTCAGATGATAACTGCTTAGCATGATCATAAGAACCAGAGCGGCATATATCTCCACCAGTTTTTGACTGAGATGACTGTAAGTGTTCAAGTATAAGAAGGTAAAACGAAATATTAGCTGAATTTTAGAACTATTACTTCATAAGAGAGGAGGGAGGACAAGGAAAATTTTAGGGCAGCACTTAGTACCTACTTAATTTGGACAAATGTTTTATAATTTATTAAAATATTTAGATGTTCAAGAAGCACTGGTTTAATTATATCAAAACAAAAGATGCACCAATTTGAAAAACCAAACAGAACACAAATTGTTTAAGCAGGGTTAGAGAGCATACTGGACTAGTAAATATTTGGAACTGCAAAAACCACAATATTCAAGTAGAGTGTGAACAACATTAAGACCAGTGCCTTTATGTAACTAAAGAAATACAGAAACACAGCATGGTAGGATTCAATCACAAGAAAGGACAAGCTCAAAAGTCAGGGTGACCTTCAAGTTGACAAATAATTGAAACCAACTAAAATGAACACTTAAAAAATAACTGGTTGAAAGAGATACCATAGTAGAGAAATTTGACCATGTTTGAGCTCCATTTTTGCCTTTCCCACCACTTACCTTTCCTGGTCTCTTTATGACTGAATCCGACATATCACCAAACGTTTCAGAATTGTGGGAATCCAAAAAATTGTCTTCATTTTCATCATATTCATCATCAACACCTTTACCCCTATATACGGAAGAGAATCTGGTCTCTTCATCAATGTCAAAATCATCAGGGTAAAGGCCTCTTTCCTGTTGAGAAAATTTTAAGTTTGAGGAATTCAATCAGACAAGTAAATAAAAAATATACAGAAATTTACAAAGGGCGAAAATGCATTGAACCCACACCAACCTCTGCTAGATGAATATCTTGGGTTTCCTCACCCTCAATTTCTCTTGCTATTCTTAGTGCTTGCATCTCCAATTCTCTCATCCGAGGCCCTTTTTCAAGCTTTGTAGTATAGAGTTCCTCATCAAATGTGCTTTTTACCCCAAACAGCATTTTATTCGTTTCAAACTGATCCCAGCCCCTAGAACTAGAAGAATACAAAAATAGTTGTCAAGGTAAAAAAAAATGGAAAAGCTGTGAAAAATTACAATCAGAAAGAAAAAACAAATAAAGAAAACCAGAATATTAAAAATGGTAGCAGCAATGTCATACACTCAACTCAAGTAAGCCTCGTCCTTATAAGTAAGAAGGACCTACCACAAAATCCCTTACTCTTTACTATATAACTATATAAATATAATTCATAGCCAGATTTTTTGTGAATATCCTTCTGTATAATCTCAACTAGTGATGATAAGAGAATTTAAAACCACCTATTCCAAGGGCCATCAAAGATATTGTCAAGTTCAGGGCATTGTGGAACATCTTCATCAGGTACCCATCGGTGTAATTCTCTCCCTAAATCAACATGACGAGGTTGAGATATTACTGAATCAACCATGATCTCCTGATGCACATCATAGTGAGATTCACTGGCTAGGTCACCTGTAGAAACAGCAACATCCTGCCCCAATGATACATAAAAGATACCGTCAATGAACAAGTTGACTGTGTTTTCTAATCAACTTCACCTAATCCTGGAACTAAAGTCTAAAACTTTTCCAACACTGATCAGTAGTATTCAGTTTCCAATTTCATACATATTTAATTAAAAGCAAAAAAAAAAAAAAAGTAACACTGGAGAATTTGACTGAAATCACGTTGTAAATAAATAAAATGTAGCAAACCTTTGCTATAACTTGTACAAGTTCTTTTCCAGGTATTATTAAAGTTTTAGAAGGAGCTTTGCTGACAAATTCAGCACCGGAGCTCTGCCCTTGCGAAGACCCATCCTTTGTCAAGCAAGCCATTTTCAAAATGATTCCTAAAATAACAGCGATGATGATGATATGAGCAATAAAAAAACGTCAAATGAAGGGATATAAGGTTGGCTTGTTGGTTGAGGTGTAGGAGTTAAGGAGTGGAATGATAAGGAGGAAAATGATTTGCTTCCTACCCCCAATAGAATACTAACTATACTAGCATTTGTCATTTTAAAAAAAATCTATTTTAGTATTATCTCTTTAAAAAAAAATAACTGAATAGAAAACAAGAATCTATTTGGGGATACACGGCAGCATAAGAATAATATTGTCTCCAATAACATCAAATCAATAACACAACATAACAGAACATACCAAAATCTTTCTCAGTATTTGTAGCATGAAATATTCCAGAGTATATAGATCCATTTTTCACCTGGACTTCCACCTGTTGCCCAATAAGGCATGTTGTTAAATATACCAGTCGATCACGTGAAGGACTCTCATAACTACCACCTTTACTACTTGTCACTGCACCTGCAGAAGTAAGTATCATTAAAATAGTTTTTTAATGAAAATAAAACAGTAAATGAAAGAGAAATTAGTAAACAGTTAGGGTTAGATATTCACCTGTACTTGCTAATCTGCCAGCATTTGATTTTCCAGGGGGAATCTTATTATCCGATTTGGATGCCCCATCTTTTTCAGATTTCCGACGACCATATCCATTAGAAGATTTAGGCTGCCCAACTTGTTGCAAATTCATCTTCACCCACAGCCTTGCTCCACTAACCTAGAGTACTTCGAAAAGTCATATCAAACACACACATACAGCATTGCGTAGCAGAAATATACAATATGATACAAGCACAAAAGATCCTGTTATCTTTCTGCCTCCAAAATTCATGCAGTCATGTAATAAACTAAAATTGATTCCATATTTAGTTAGATTTGGTATATGAGAATTAAGATGAATAAATATAATGAACCACAACATCAATAACAACCAAGATTTATCTACTAAGTGGGGTCGGCTACATGGACCAAATTATGCCACAATGGTCTATATTAAATTACACCGAATAATTCTACATTCAAGAGTCTTGACTTAATTTCAGTATTCTTAAGGTATTTTTCGTATTAAGCCTTGAAAACTCAAGTTGTTTTATTCTCAGTTTCTTCTTGTTATTTCCCCTCATTTTAGTCATTCCCCAACCAACTGGAATATCAAACTCTTCCTTAGTCAGTCCCCACTATTTTTTACTAGCTTTCACTATTAAAAAAAAAAAAACATACCTATATCAATGCAAATTATCTGTGTTCCAGCCACAGTAGATAAAGGTCATTTAATTACTCACATAGTCACATTCGAAGCCCCTAACACATCTCAATCCTAAAGAAAAAAAAAATCTTTGAAACCTAAAAACCACACATTCATTCCAAAAAAAACTATAACAAAAATGGAACCTTAATCCCCTCAAATTTAACTCCCCTCTCCAAAACAAATATAAGGTCTTCAAAATTCAAATACCACCATCAGTCAACTTCAAAGCTCAAGTCAGCAGAGAAATAGCAAAGATCTTTGCTTTCCAAATTTCCCCTCTCCCTTTCCCTCAAATCCCCGTTCCTATCCTTCTTCAAAATAATAGTAACAATCAACATCGACAAAATGCAGCACATATCTCAACCAACTAATTGCCACATGAAATCACATAAATTTATAAGTATTCATCTTTTTGCTTCACTAAGCAAACCAAATTCGCAACCATAAATACCTATTTACACAACAATGAAACAAACACACGATCCAACCAAGTCCTAATTTTTAAAATCGAACACAAAACGAAGCAAAGTTCAATTTATTTTGCTTTTGCACGAAATCGAAAGGAGAGAGAGCAAAAAAAATGGATCGAAAAATAGATAGGGTTATATTACATACCTGAGGAAACTCTTGATCGAAGGGAGGAGGTGAAAATGCAAAAGCGCGAGTCGGGGGGTTAATTAGGGATTGGAATGACGAAAGCGACGGAGGCACCAATTGCAGCGACGGAGAGAGAAAGGGGTGAAACGAGGGTTCCGTCGTGATCCAAAATTCAGAATCAACACTGCATCGGTTTTTTGAAAGAAGAAAGAAAATAAAATAAAAAACGCTACGAAACACTGAAATAAATAATTATAGCAGATTGATAAAAAATAAACATTAAAATTTTGATATTAAATACGATTTTAAAATGTTTTCGCTTTTTCTGCTTATTTTAAAGTGTGTCTGAGTTATAGAAATTTTAAATTTTAGAAAAAAGATAAAAATAAATATTATGTGTTGGTGAGACTAGTTTATGGTAGTTAGGTCAATTATCATCATGGATTGAATCCGATTGGAAGCTAAATTTGTTTCTTTACATAGATAGCATTGACCATTTGTACTCTACCTTATTATCACATTTTTACCGACTCTATTTTATCCAAAAAAAAAAAAAAACTTTGTAATATTAATAAATTTTAAAATTGATATTTTCTATTCATTTTTTATTTTTCTCTCGTAAATTAAAATAAAATTATATTATTTAGATCATTTAATAATTTCAAACAAATTTTGTAAATCATTTTTATTTATTTTCGTCAAGTACAATTAATTTTATCTGTGTTTATTTGGACATCCATGTAATTATCAATTATTATAAGGTTTAGTGTATATTTTAGTTCCTTAACTTAATTTCAGATTTCACTTTAATCCCTTATATAATAAATGTTAGCTCCCTTAAGTGTTATTTCGCTAATCACATTGGTCATATCCTTTAAACTTTGTCAAATTTCGTTAACTTATATATGCGTGGCACTCAAGTTGGACTAAATTATATGACATAGAATTATTTTCTTACATATTAATTTAAAATTTAAAGAACAAAAGAAGCGTGTACAAAGCAATCTTCTTCTCTTTTTCACAAACCCTAGTCACCACCTTTCTCACTTCTTCATCCCTTTCTCTCTTCTCCTTCGTTTTCCACTTTGATCTCCAATGCTTTTGTTATTTGTCAAGTAAGTTATCATCTTCATCCTTTTATTGCTTTTAAATCCATTTTCATGTCAGAAAAGGTTATGTCATGAGATTTTATGTTATGCTACTAAATCCCCGGAATGCTTTCAGAATGCAGATCTTCAGTGAATTTAATGCTCGTAAGTATCTCTTCTAACGTGGTTATGTTTTCTATACGTTGATTTCAAAGATTTCATTATCGGTTTCCCCTGGATTTCTTCGAAGATTGTTAGGTTTAATTTCATGAATGGTAATTTGAATTTCTTGCATTTTCAGTTTGTTTCATTTTATCATTTTTCTCCTATTCACATGTATGACCGAGTTAACAAAATTGTAATACTTCCAAGTGTATTGATGTTGAACCATGAGAATAATAAGGAAATTGATTATATGAATACACATTGGTTGAAACAACTACATTCATTACAAGATAAGCATGGTAAATCTATGACTACACATTGGTTGAAACAACTACATTCATTACAAGATAAGCATGGTAAATCTATGACTACACATTGGTATACATAACATCTATATGTATAAGGCGTGGATGCAAATTACAGAGATAAGCCATTAATGTCTGTATTGCAACTGGTATATCTCTCACTCTTCTGCGTGTTCATGTTCATACCTGAATGTAATGTAATTCTGTTCATACCTGCAGTTTTCAATCAAATTGATATAGCTTTCATTCTCATGGATTTAGAGGAAAACCTAGAGTATAAAAATGTACAAGGTAATACTTTCCCTTCCTATAATTTATCCAAATTAAATTTGTTTTGTGTATGACATATTGAGCTTTTTTTTTTACAAAATTTGAATCAAATGTGGTTTTTGTACCCTCAATATTTGAAAGTAACATTGAAGGAAAACCAACTTTTGCATACGTTGATAATGAAAAGTGTGTTTGAAAACTTGGAGGCTTTTGATGTTTTTTTTCTTCCAGAGTTCAACAATTGAAGAGTTTGTTCAGGGTCAGCAATTGAAAAATTGTTCATTTAATAGAGGTTGGGCCAATCAAAATCAGTTGAATAAGGTTCGGGATGAATGATATTTTTGTGATTTTTGTGGCTGAAGGTGTTCATTCTAGTTATGTTGCTCTATGTTTTTTTATTCATTATTTATGTGTTTCTAATATGGAAGAAAAAATTTCGATTTATTTTGGTTATGTGGCTTAAGGTATTCATTCTTATATTTTTATTATTTTGGTTTAATGTCATTATATTTAAGATTATGTTAACATTAAAAAGTTTCGATTTGGTACTTTAACCATATATAAAGTTTCAATTTAGTCCCTTTATTAAATTGTTGACTCAAATGTCATGATGTCATGCCACATATGCACAACTTAACGTTTTTTTCACAAAATTTAACAGAAATGACCAACTTGACTAACATAATAGTTCTTAAGAGACTAAAACGTAATATTTATTAAATAAGGGACTAAAGTGAAAATTGAAATTAAGTTAAAGGACTACAACACTAATTAAGCCTTATTATAATTAGTAAAGGTTGCCTCCAACCTTTGCAGCATCATCAAATTATATTAAATTCAAGTTGGTCTTTCATGTTTGCGTTAAACACCTACTGTTCACGTAGAGATTTCACGTGTTTCAAAGGGTTACAATAGTTATTACTTTTGGAAAGTAACATCATTGGGAATGTCAATTATATGGTAAGTAATCCATAATCCTTGTAACTTCAACTTAGAGGTCCACTCAAAATGGATGAGACTATTTTGATTAGTTTTTTGATAAAGTGAGAGATAAGAATGACATTTTATCATGTACTCTCTAGTTAAATTATTATCAAACCCTGTTTCTAACGCAACTGACCGCACTTCAAACAGACCTACGAAACTTAAGTTATGGGTGAAACACGGCCAATGCAAGACTGAATTTTTACTACGCCTCTGGTATAAAAACCAGAGAACTACTACTATTATAACACCCTTAGACCCAATTTTTTCACTTCAAAATAAATATTATTGCGTTAGTTTTCTAACCCAACTGACGACACATCAAACGAACTTACGAAACTTAAGTTACGCATGAAACAAGACGGTCAATCCCTTTCTATCTCTATCTGTGATTTTCTGCGTTTTTCTCCCTATTAAACCAATCCAAAGCTCGCCTATTTGATTTCTAACCGTCCTAATACACACATATAAACATAAAACATGAACAATATGAATCAAACATCATAGATTCACCATTTTATCACATCAAACATCACAATGCTAAGAAACTTCTGACTTTGGAAGCATTCTTTGATCTCTCCCAATTAATCACCGCTTCGACTTTTGATGGATCTACCGCCACTCCTCTGTGAGATATAACATGACCAAGAAATCTAACTTCCGTCATCCAAAACCCACACTTGCTTAAATTGGCCAAAATTCGTCTCTCTTGCAATATCGATAGGACGATTCTTAAATGTTCTTCGCGCTCTTGTGGAGTACGAGAGTAAATGATAATGTCAGCAATAAAGATCACCGTGAATTGGTCCAAGTAAGGTTCAAATATCTGTTTCATATAATCCATGAAAATGGCTAGAGAATTCGTCACGCTGAAAGGCATCACGAGAAACTCATAATGGCCATAACGGGTTTTAAATGTGGTCTTTGGTACATCTGAACTCTTCACACAGATCTGATGATAACCCGACCGTAAATAAATCTTTGTGAACACACATGATCCTTTCAATTTATCTAACAGGTCGTCTATCCAGGG